TCATGCACCCTTTTGATCTTATTTTATATGACTTTGTATTAATACACACATTTTAAAAATAATTAATTTATTAATTATAATTATTAAGTAAATTGATGTAACTAAAATGTTTATGTTATTTTATTAGAACATATAACTAATTTTCTATACTTTAATTATTTTATTAGAGTATATAAAGTATTTTCTACTTTCAAATATTAACTAGTGCTTTATAATCATTGGTTAAAAAATTAATTGATGAAATATATTTTATTGAAAAGTAATATTAATGTATCTTTTGTAATTTTTCATAGATTTTAACATTATTTTAATAAACAAATTTATTTTTAATCTTTTTAACCAATGTCTCAAAAAATATTTGTTTTTTGCATAGTTCAAACTATCTCACTGTTAAAATAATGTAACGTATCAAAATTATATATATATATATATATATATATATATATATATATATATATATATATATATAATGCAATGAGGTGATAATGAGATGTTATGTGAATCCATACATGTAAAAAATAATTTGCACGCTTGTCTCAAAGTTAATTTTCTAGAATTTTTAGCACCTTTTTTATTATTAAAGTTTCATTCATACTTTTTGTTTTACAATTTATTATTATTGTTTTTCTAGAATAACAATGATATTCAATTATAGGTTACATTGCATGTTTGAATAAATTGTCAAATGAATTTTTGCCCAGGTTTTGGATATTGTTTAAAGAAATCATTGATAAGAAAGCGATCACAACCCTAGTCAGTCATGAAATGACCATAGAAGTAATAAAATAAGGCTATTTTTTAGCCTAAGTGGGAGTGTCCTTTTAGAGCATCAGGTTTCATGACTTAAAAATTAACTTTTTCTAAGCAATAAAATAAAAACTTAGGTCCAATCAAAAACTGCATTTTAATACTTATCTAGACCAGGTAGCCTGAAATCAATCACATAAAAGTCCAAATAAGTCCAACATGGCTGAATATCTACAATAATTTCTTGATAGATTAAAAAGACGTTGAAAAACATTAAGTTGCTCATTTATTATAGTTGTAAAGTTGACGTAATTTCAAATGAAGGTAATGCTACAAGAAGGGTTCATGCAGAAAATAGCACTAAAGTAAGCGTATAAATACATGAAAATATTTAAAAAAACGAGTGAATAGAAATAAGATTAGCTATTATATGAATATAAGTTTAATAAAAAATAGTTACTGAAATCATTTGGGCAAGTTTAAGATTCAGTTGAGATCGACACTTGAGAAATGAAAGTAAAAAGATAATTTTAAATTTGAAAATATATAATAAATAATAACAGAGATAGAATTAATATCCACCTTAATGAGAAATCAAAGATAAAGTAAAACAACATCGTGTGAAAAAATCTTATTAAGTTTTAAAAAGGAAGTCATCCAAATAATGGTTTAATCTTATTTGATTAAAAAGATAGACCCTAGTACGAACTCTTAAGAAAATATTGACTTTGTTTACCAAATCTACATACCTTATCCATATTTTTAAAAATAATTTATTTGTAAATTTTATCATTCGTGCTGGAAATGCTGTTTTACTACCTAATTACATTCAATATACATCATATGTGCTATTTTTGTGTTATGAAGAACTTCCTAAATTTAAGTTCAATTTTATTTTGTGTATAAACTACAAATACTTTAAGAATTTATCATTTTGTGTCAATAAATTAGACTTTCTTAAAGATAAACACAGTGGCATTTTTTGTGGTCAAATGGGAAAACCTCTAGAGAATAAAGTTCCAACCGCGTAATAATAGAAAACGATACTAAGAAAGGTAGCATAAGATGAAAAAAATAACAAAAATTAGAATTTTTTGTTTTTTGGGTACATGCAATTTCTTGTTCTCTTAGCCTATTACGAATCTAATTAAATATCTATAATGTTAGAAAAATATATGATGAAGAAATTATTTTTAAACAAGTAGCAAGTATTGGTATATGATTTATTGTTTCATTTGAAGTGTACAATGGTTGTGAATACTTAAATTTGACAGAGACATTATAAAATAAGATAATAAATAAAATTCTAAAAAATTGAAATTCTTAAAAACCGACTGCATGAATTCAAATAATAGGTGATAAAGCTTACAATTGAAATGGTTTTTGAAGGCAAACTATATAAGATGAATTATCCAGGAGTTAATTTATCGATGAAGAAAATAATTCAATCATATATTTTATCTTGAAAGTCATTTATACCTAAAATTAGTAAATTTTAATATCAATTGAATCAGAATTAAAGTTATAGATGTTTAATTAAAAATGTTTAAAAATAAATTAAAATAAAATTAAGGTTTAAAATGTTTATTTACAAATAAGGTACAGTTTATAAAAAGTTGATAATTTTTCTTGAGTTTTTAATTGTTTGTAAAATTTGTCTTTTATGAAGAAGAAAACTAACAAATTCAAAATTTGTAAAATTATTTCCTTTTAATCCATGACAAAAGCTGTAATACAAACTTATAACATTCATAAAAATTGTTTTTTAATTTATGTTTTAGAGTATATTCAATAAATTAAAAAATATATATTTTATTAAAAAATGTAACATTTAATGTTATTAATGCACTGTTTTTAATTATAATTTACTATATACCTTAACACATATTAAAAAAAATATTTTAGTAAATTTATTTGATAATTATAAAATTAAAAAAATTAACTTTTAAAAGTTACCTTTTTAAAAGGCTTGTTGAAAGTTACAACATATAGCTACTTAAAAAAATTATGCCGTTTCTACTCTTTTACTTTTACACAAATTATATATAAATACAAACTTAAATTTTTTCACTTCACTTAATTTTAATATTACATTTTTATTAACCATTTAATACATTTTAGTTCGTTTTATTAAATAGTTCTAATTCAATAAATTAGTTACAAAATTATAACCCTAAGTTATAAACATTCAAGTAGTTAATTACCGGTAAGTTATAAATATCTAATTTTATCAAATTGTAGTGAAGAGATACAAAATAAAAAATCAAAATGACCTTTTTATCCTTTTTATTAAAAAAATAATAAAATATAAAAGGAACAAAAAAATATAATTTAATTTGCATAAATAATATAGGATAACTACCTGATATATCTGTCACAAAATTAATGAAATTTATTTTTCATATTACCTTATTTAAGAAGAGGAATTTGATTTAAATATATTGACAATGATTTTTCTTTTTACACTATCACCTAATTATAGATTGATATTTAAGTAAGAAGTATCAATTTTTATGAAAATTAATGTCAAAATTATATTTACAGTATACTTTTATTAGTTCAGATTGTAAATATATTTATATTAATAATGTGTAAAAAATATACTCTTAATACTAAGTATCTAAATTTAGTTTTATTTTATATTAACTTTTTTTTTTGTTGTTTAAGATTCTAGCTCATAAATTTAAAAATATCATTATTACTATTATTTTTATTTTCATTAAATTTATTATAATTTTTCTATTATACAACACATATCTAATATTAATCAATTTTACTCTCATGTTCAGTTTTACCCCTCCATCACTACTCAAGAGGGAAATTGAAAAAAATATTTATTAATACTGTAAGATAACAAATAAATATTAAAAAAAAGTAAAATAGAAAACAATATGAATCGGAAGAAATCATATTTCTTGTTCTTCAATTTCTTAATCATATAAAATTGATGATAATTTCAATTTAAATTATCATTTTTATTGTTTATTTATTCAAGTTTTTAAATTAAAATGAAAACATAGATAAATAAATAAATTTGTTCTTATTAATTTTCATTTCAGTATTCATTTTATAATCACACAAATTTTTAAGTCTTTTTGAGATAAAAAATAACATTATAAAAATTGAATATTTTTTTATAAGTTAAAAATAATTTATACTTCACTATTTTTTTAGAATTTTTTTTAAAATTATTTAAAAGAACACCTAAATGAATTTATTTATAAATGATTTTGTCCAAACTTATTTAACATAAATGCAAGGTCAAATTTTACGTATTTTTAAATTTGTTAAACAATTTTTATTTTTTTTTATGATTATCATCTTCTTGATTGCTATTTTTATATTTTTGTTATGAATTTAAAAATTATATGTTGATTAATTTATTAACTTACACATAAATTTTAATTAGACTATTTAAATGTAATACAGAATTACATTTAAACAAACTTTAAAGTTAAGTCAGTCCTTTAAAAGTGTTATATCCCATATTTTTTTAATAAATTTAAGTCTTAAATTTTAAAAACTATATTAAATTCAAATATTTTAAAATCTTTGCTTAGTTTAATTTATTTTTATATCCATCTTGTTTCATATATTTTTTAAGGTAATATTATTCTTATACAATTTGTTTATAATATGTATTTTTAAAAATAACTAATTAGGTATTTAATTTTTATAAATATTGTATAATTTAGACTTAATTTTTATTAAATGTTTTAATAGTATATAATTCATATTTTTTATAAAGTATTTTTTTATTTTTTTAACTAATATAGTCTAACTAAAATTTAACAACTTAAAAAAATCTGAATAGATTACGTTAGTTTTATAGACTAAAGATAATAATTTTAAAAAAGTAAAAACTATAATTTTATAAAAATATTATAAAAACTAAATTCGCTTAATTTTTATAAATAGCATGCAATTAATTAAGGCAACTTAATAACACGGTCGAGTAAAAGGATAATACAACTCCTCGGTTTGTTTCGCTTTTTCCTCTTCAGTCAAAGACTCAATGTGAATAATACAAGTCCTTCTCTTTAATTAGGAAAAGGCCAAAAAGAAAATTATTATTTTTGTTATTTAAAAATTCTAGTTACGGATGAGCTTGGGTTATGTTTATATACACATCTCTGCATTAACAAGTACCCATTCCTTACTCTTCCATTCTCATTCTCGTTCTCATTCTCTTCACTCCTTTGCACCCCTTTATTTGTGTTGAAGTTTCTCGAAGATCATCACATCATACTCAAATGGAAGAGACCAAATCCAAGTTCAAGAGGATTTGCGTGTACTGTGGAAGCAGTTCCGGCAACAAAGCTAGCTACCAAGAAGCTGCTGTAGAACTAGGCAAGGAACTGGTAATTTAATGTCTGCACTTTTAATTACACTTTGCTTCTTTTGGCATTTATTTTTCTAGCGTAAAACAACAATATCACTTTCATGAAATTAATCTTCCTTTGAGCAGGTCTTTTTCAGGTGAAAAAGCCGCGCACTAGTTTTTATCAAAATTTGCGTTTTTTTCTTCCTTTATGTTCATCTGTCCTGGTAAACAAGAAGAAAAAAGTGTATTAACTCGAAAATCTTAATCCACAGTATTTTGGGTTCCTTTGCCTTATGTTTTCTTTCTTACCTTCGCCAAATTACGTTCAATGAACTTGGTTCATTTTTTCTCTAAAGGGTGTTTTTTTTCCTACAAAAATATATGTCTGTCTCTCCTCCTTTTAACTCTCTTTTCTCGTTTTTGCGAAGTGTGTGATATTTGTTTCTCCTTTTTTTTTCAATTTTTCTTAAAATTTTTCAACTAGGTTATGATTGTTGAGGAATGAGAATGGTTTAGGTTACGAGTTTATCATGTAAGAGAGAGAGAGATTGCTAGCTGGAGCCTGTCTGTCAGTTGTGCAGCCTTCTTGCATGATCTCTATTTTGCTTGTGATTTTTCTGTTACAAAATTCAATAACTTTCTATCAGAAAAAATAAAGAAAGAAAGAAATGCTTTGTGCACTTTTCTAGGGAAACGAACGTGCAATCTTGGTATCATTACACTATGGAGCGTGCTCTTAGCGTTTGCCATTCCCCACAAGGTTCCATGACTGAACATCCATGATTTTTCCCTGTGACCAAACTTTGCCATTGAACCAATCTCCATACTAAATCAATTCTAAAATAAAGTTATTGTTTTGATTTTGTTGTGTACAATAAGTTGGTTTGTGTGTTTTTATTTTTTATTCGGTGATTATGGGTGTAGTGACACGTGTCTCATTGGTTTGGTTTTCGATGTGTTTTTGTAGGTTGAGAGAAGGATTGATTTGGTCTATGGAGGTGGTAGCGTGGGGTTGATGGGTCTCGTTTCTCAGGCAGTTCATGATGGTGGGCGCCATGTTCTGGGGTTTGTTCTCTCTCTCTCTCTCTCTTTCCCTCTCTCCCTCTCTCTCATAACCCCATTTTATGTCCATGTCTATGTATGTTTGATGATAGACCAACTTAATCATTTTGGTGATTAATGCTACAAAGTGGGCTATATCCTTTTATGTTGGGTACTGACCCATGCGTGTTTCCCTGTTTCCTAAAAAATGAGTTCAATAAAGGACATCATGGGATCAAAAACTGCTAACATGGGACTTTTTTTGTTGCCCCTTTGATTCGTCCTTCCAAATGTAGGATGAAATGGAGCATTTTGGATATAAGTAAAATAGAAGTTCACTTCGTACTGTGGTTAATATGGCTTTCTGTTCCATTGGTGTGTTTTGTAAAAAGGGGGGGGGGGGGGATGGTGTGCCTTTTACCTATGGTTAGAAGCTTTTTGAGCAGCTTTACTCTGTTAGATAAAAAGTTGAATGCCTTTTGGCCCTTTTACAGAAAAGGGGGTAGAAAGTTTTTGCTCAGGAATCGGAGCCACCGTTGCCTTTTCCTTTCTCCTGTTGCATTCACTTTGAAGACATGCTTAAAGTTCTTTTTGCCATTAAGGGGAATTCAAATTGGTCTTTGGTTTCATTATTTTAATATTGAAATAATCATTACCTTCTAAAAAATATTTCATGTTCCAACTTTTGACTGATGATGTATATCATTGGATTGTTTGTGCAGCGTTATCCCAAGAAGTCTCATGCCAAGAGAGGTAAATCACTGCTGTCTCTACGTAGTAACGGCTAATGACATGATCAATTTTGTTAGACTAAAAAATGCTAGTGGTCAATTTATCACTAAATGTATGAATATGCATGTGTTGGAAATGCAGATAACTGGTGATCCTATTGGAGAAGTGAGAGCCGTATCTGATATGCATCAAAGGAAAGCTGAGATGGCTCGTCAAGCCGATGCCTTCATTGCCCTTCCTGGTATCGATTAATTATGGTTTTGTAAACATTATTAGACTTCATGGCTGATTTTAAGCCACTAACAATACTTTTTGCACTTTTAGTATTTCTCACGTACTAAACTTCCTTTCCTAATCCTAACAACAAATTTTCATTTGTAACTACTAAAGAAACAGTCTTGAAGGTGTCGACGCTGTCATTATGTTTCTACACAAACGCACACAAAAAAGAGACAACATAGTCATGTGGTGTAGGATTTGTTGGTCTTTTGAGTGATAACACAAACACATGGTGCTGTTACTCATGTCTTGTTATTTTCAAACATCAGGGGGATATGGAACCCTTGAAGAATTGCTTGAAATCATTACATGGGCTCAGCTTGGGATCCACAGCAAACCGGTAAGAACCATTCCTCATTTTTAATCCGTGATTAGACAAATTGTATGATATAGCTATTCTTTGTTGTTCTACACATAAGGGAGATACGTACAACTGTGGCCATAATAATATAGAATAAGTATTCATAAACAAAATAATAATATTAAATAAATAGCCAGGAGAGATGCCTGAAAGGTGGGAATGGAATATAGTATTCTATTAGAAACAATAGCTTTTAAAATTAAACTAACAAGCTTCACTTTCCTCTAATGATCTCTCTGGAATCGAATTTCGGCTATATAATTATAAAATATCAATTAGTCAAATCTCGCATTATTTGCCTTATTGTTCCTATAAACTTGCCTTAAGCATCTTTGCTTCTACGTGACGCATGGTATACGTATGCATTCACTATATCCATATTTTATTATCGTAATTCTACTGTCATCAATTGTGTGTTTTGTCTTTATTTAGCCTTTATTAAGTTTATAATACTACTCCATGAACAAATATTTTTATGAGCTTGGAACAGCACTAGGAAGCTTCGCTACGGAACCAATACATGTGGGGTATTTAATTCACATATTCACATGATAAGATATATGGGATTTTGTTTAGTTAATCGTTGTCACGTTACATTATTTGATGGTTCTCCGTTTGAATGGGAGAAAGATATGTGCCATAATCAACTAATATAGAAAATGATTGAGGGAAACAACACAAAACAAATAAAGTTAGTGGTCAATGGAAGAGTGCTAGAAATTGTATACATATGTAGCTATTATTCTTGTAACATAATGTTTAGTTGTCCAATATTTTGTGGCGCAGGTGGGGCTATTGAATGTGGATGGATTTTACAATTCCCTGTTGTCTTTCATTGACAAGGCCGTTGATGAAGGCTTTATTTCTCCAAAGGCACGTCGCATTATCGTGTCAGCACCCACAGCCAAACAATTGGTGAGGGAGCTTGAGGTGCGTGAACATTGCTCTATACTTTATATTATGAAAATATGAAAGTGAACCATGTTTTGTGGTTCAAATTTCAGAATGATGATTTGATTAAATCGTATTTATGATACTGATATTAATATTAATAGATGTTGCTAAATCAAGTGGGCCATAATGTATGATGTCCTTGCTGAGCTAATCATCATTTAATGTTATGTGAAGCAGGAACATGTACCTGAGCGAGATGAAGTTGTATCCAAGTTGGTGTGGGAAGAAAGACTAAATTACGTGCCTGAATCAGAAGTTGCCATGTGACCCATCTATGCGCTTAGTGGGCGATTGATGAACATCATGGATTTTGGGTCTCCTATATTTTTGTTCTTAAATGTATTTTGGGTACATAATAGTCTCTATATATGGGCATAGGAACCGTAGGCTATACAGCATCTTCTTTTTTTTGTTTTTTCCCACTTATATTGATGTCCCTAGTAATACACGAAATGAAAGGTAGTTCAAGGGTATGCAAAAATCATCAATGAAAGTTGTGTTACCGACCATTGCCTTTGCAGTGAATGAAATGTGAATCATTCACGGCTACTTATTCTTTCCCCTCTTTATTTTTGATGGCTTCACTTTTAATGTTTTTTATAAACTCGAACATGACAAAATGCTATTTGGAATTTATGAGAAAAGAAAAAGAATTATTACGGGAAGTACCCTAATGAAAGTTTTTTTATTTTCATGTACAATTCTTTAAGAACAACATTGTCCTTACTATAAGAAAAGAAAAAGAAAACACTGTTAATTTGATTACCATAGTTTTTATTTGCGATGAAACAGCATCATCCGACTCCAAATAACGAGATAACTCAATTATATATTTTTATTCTAGAATTCCGATTTTGGTTTCTTTAATGTTTGATTATGCATAGCTGTTTACAAGCAATCCACCGATATTCTAGGGGGAAGATGTTGGCACTAAAATATTAGTCTAAATTGTAAATAATTAGCAAGGAAAATCATTTTTTCATGACGAGTTATTTATAAGTTAGATGCCATGGTAGACTAGATTAGATGTCCCATTGCAAAGGTCTGTCACGTGCGTCAAAATGACCACATGATTATAATCCCCTTAGTTGCGGCACCAAATGTCATAGCCCCTATCTCTTTGTTGGAACAAGCTATTCTACGCACTCACCATTGGGTGAGATCATTACATCTCTTTGGTATGATAAACTTACCTAGAAGAGACTGGTGCAACATGTCAAGACATGGTTAATTGGATTTATTAGAAATGTGTTCACAAGTTGTAATTCAAGTGGAGGGGTTGTTTTGTATAGTGGTTCCGAAAAGAAAGAACTGAATTGGGTTTATATGTCTACACTAGGTGAAATTTTTTTTTATGAAAATTAGGAAGAAAAAAATGTATATAAGAAATAAAAAAAAATTATCCCTTCAAATTTCAGAAAAGTTAAGTGAGAAAGTATCTCATAATTTTTCAAAAAAGTAAAAAAAACATAAATTGTTTCTACTTATGAGAAATTTCAAGTTCTTCAAACTTCTTTGAAAATACTTATAATAATAGAAGAATAAGTAATAATATGAATAAAATTTTTTTCTTAACTTAAAATTAACTAATATTTCTATATTTTTTAAGAAGTTATTCTCATTTAATTTCTCTAAAAAGTGAAAAATATAAGTTACTTTTAACTTTAAAAAAATTATTTATTTTTTATATTATTCTGTTTCTCTTATAAAGACTTATTCATAAACAAACTTAAATTGTGTCTTATTATTTTTAAGAATTTACACAAACTCGGGTAGATTATATTTGTAAAGAAATTAAACATTTTGGTTTAATTAAACTTTTGAAAAGAAAGATGGAACCAAAACAGCTTGAAAACCATAACAAAACAACAATAATAAGCTTGTAGGCCCATGCTACATCATAAATACTTTGCTTCCAACTAGCTAGCAGCAGCACTTAATTGATATTTTCACCTCTTTAAATTAATTATTTTGTCATTATCATTCGTCATTGTAAAGTTGGTTGAGACCCTTCATTTGTTAGGGAAATTTTTTCCCTTGTGTGTCACTCAGCAAATTATAGAATGAGAGAAATGCCCCACCAAAAATATATACAATAAGATAACTGCGATGTAACATCATACATGTGAGGCACATGATTTGTAGTAAAATGGAACTTACCTACTAAATGCATTTGATTTAATCAATTAGATGAGATCAAATCTCATCCAATCTTATTGGAAAATTCCTAGTCACCGACCATCATACAAGATTTTTAAAAATTAACTCAATGAGACTAACTGATTTGAATGATCTAAAGTCCTCATTCAACAAGAAACTAAAGAATTCCCAACTGCTGGCAGAAGGTCTACATCTGGTTTGGCTGTTAGAAATATAATCAAATGGAGAAATCAATAACAAAGGCTTCGGAAAAATTTATTTTTATCTGTCTATCTTTTAAATGTCATCCAACAAATTTGGAACGATGTTTGAGTTGTTGCATATTTCTGAACAAGGACCATCCTATATATCGTTTATACTCAAAGATGTTGTAAGTTAATTTTATTTTTATTTATTTTTATTTTTTAAATTAGGCTATAGCTGGTATCTCACAATTAAACTACCTTAATGGAATCTTCAGACTGCAATACTCCAAGCCAAATGATGTGGATAATGATAGTTTAACTTATAAAATCACATGAACTTGGATTTTGTCCCGTGTAGGAAATTTTTTGGATCAAGTGGCATAATGTCATGTTTGGTGACTTTGACCAATAAATGACAAAGGCAGAGCCTAAAATTGTGTTGTATCTAATAAAAGATAAGGCAAATATACAGAGATTCCTTTTGTGATTCATTTATTTTTAATGTATTCTCATTCTTTAAAATGCATTAAACAAATCATTTTATTTTAGCAAGGGAGTTTGGTCACTGAAGACCAACTAGAAGACAAAGCCAAAAACAGAGTGGCATGCCTTGCAGACATCAAAAGGTCTCTGGATCATCAGCCATTTGTTTCTCGTTTTCTATATCGACCTCTAAAATCTCCTGAAAAAAGGGGAATTGAATGAGTCATACACAACGCTTTTTAGTTGTTGAGTAGGGCAGGGTAAATTATTTTCTTGTTCATTTTCGTACTTGGCGTTTTTAAATTACCTATATCAGGACCTTACCCTCAGATATATCAATTTTAATTCTTATTTACATGATCGGACCCATTATTTACATTTGAGTTAAAAAATATTTTTTTACGTATTAATTATTAAATATGTTAAATAAAATATTCAATTAAATTCAAATCAAATTTCAAGCACCACAAAATAAATAACGATACATTATAATATTTTTTTTTCTCAAAGATTCTTTTATAAGAGCGTTTACGGTGAAAAATAACGATTTATAAACAAATAATCCAAGAACAATTTGGAGACTGAATTTAGATCTCTTAGATTCTTTTAAGTATGTTGTTAACGTAACAGTAAAATTGACATCGTAAAGTAACCAATTGAGCAAGAACAGCAAAATTATGAAACAAAAATGCCTATAAAACTGAACGCAAATGCTTCCAGTGTATCAAACAAGAAAGAAATTGCATGAACAAGGACGTAAAACAACTGAAAAATAAAATGCAGAAACATAAATGTGTAAGAAAATAACATAAGACTCCTAGCAGTGAACAACAATAGTTGTATATCTCCCTGTAGCTAATATCTGACGCAGTGTAGGGTTTAAGTGTGCAAAGATTTTTAAGTGCGGTATTTGGGTGCAAAAAATCGTCCTTGATGATGTCAACCTTTTTAGTATTTATAGACAAATGGACCTTCATAGTTATTCTCTTTTTGCAGACATTTCTTAGTAACTATCTTCTACACGTGTTTGCTTTCAGCAGTTGCTGCTCATTCTCTATGACTGACTTTGATTGTGCTGTCGATTGTGGCTTCTTTTGTAACTGCTATCGCCCATGGTGTTTCTTTGTATCTTGAACCTTCAACTAATAATAACGGCTGGTAATCGTTTTTGAGCTTTGTAATTACTTTTTTAGCCCTATCATGTCTTTTATGGACTTAGAATATTTTTCCTTTGTTTTTATTTTTCGACCGATTCTAGAAAAAATCTGAGAACTTATTTAGTCTTGTGGACTTAGAATAATTTCTCCCTTAGTTTTTACTTTTTGACCAATTCTGGGAGAAATCTGAGAGTTCATTCAATCTCGTGGACTTAGAATAATTTCTCCCTCACTTTTTACTTTTTGACCAATTCTGAGAGAAATCTGAGAACTCATTCAGTCTCGTAGACTTAGAATATTTTCTTTGCTCATTCTTAGTTGTTGAGCAATTCTAGCAGGAATCTGGGGCTCAGCCAAATTTGTGGACTTAGAATATTTTTTTACTACTTCCTATTTTTCGAGCAATTCTAGAGAAAATTTGGGGCTTAGCCAAGTTGAGTCAGATTTGTGGACTTAGAATATTTTTCTGACTACTTCCTATTTTTCAAGCAATTCTGGAAAGAATCTGGAGTTCAGCTAGGTTTGTGGACTTAAAATATTTTCTGACCACTTCTTATTTTTCGAGCAATTCTGTGTGTTAGGTACTTAAAAACCCTTAAAAACTCCTCAAAAAACCTTTAGTCTTATGGACTTAGAATAATTTTCTTATCAGTCTTATTTTTCGACCAAATTTAGCTATTCTCAGTTCGGGATCTATAAAATCCTCAGAAACTCCTTGAAAAGGCCTTCAGTCTTGTGAACTTAGAATAATTTTCTACTACTCTCCTGTCTTTCGAGCAATTTTGAGAAAAATCTGGAGTGTGATAAAAACCTCTAAACACCTCCAAATGTGACATTTTTGATAGAAATTAAGGTTATAAAAAACCTTCTAACACTTCTTGGGTTCGAACTTACTTTTCAATAAAGAATAAGGCTCTTTCTCCGACCCTCTAAAACTCTTCGAACTGTAGTTTCTTTAGTATGGAAAAATTACTTTCTAAATACTCTCAAAACTCCTCAAAAAGTGAAATCTTCAAGATAAATTTAAAGATAAATTTAAGACTTAAATAAATTTTTTAAGTCTTTGATTTGTCAGTGTGAGAGCCTAGGACCCTTAGTCTGATAAGGTCTTTGTAACTTAGAAAATTTTTTTTATCCCCAAACAAAGATTTAATCTTGTTCGAACCAAATAAGATTTAAAACAATTGTATTTAATAAAAAAAATAGAACTTAAATGCTACAAGTTAAACAGAAATAATTTTCTCTATAAGTTAGTTTACTGTTTATCAAATGTTTAAAATAAAAAATAATTTAAAGATCAAATTTAACTTGTACTTATTAATACTTTCACCGTCTATTCTCACCATTTAAGATTTTTTATTTAAATTATCTTATTATTAATTTAATTAAAAAAATAAAAAGAGTGTTTTAAATAAAAATTGTTTAAAGATGAATGAATAGCAATAAATATTTTGGAGTGACAATAAATTTACTGTCAAATTTAATATAGTAAAAATAAGAAATAATTATTTTATGAAATTGCATTTTCAAAATTTGTACTCTCCAAAATCGACTAAAAAAATTATATATTAATATTGATTCGATATATACACAGCAGAGTTAAAATCATAAAAGAACATGAAGTTATGTGTGTAAATTAACAAGTATTCTTTTAATTTAATACATTTAAAATTATGCGACACAGAGCAATTCTATAGCCATATCCATACCCATCTTCATTAATTTTCGTGGGTAATTATCTAAATGCAAATCTATATAGCCATTTCAAGAACAATGCTCTTACCCCTTATGAAAATATTTTTTTGTAAGAACCTAGTGAGTGTAGATCTAATTATCATCCCTAGCTTCAGCTGCCTCCACCTTGTGCTGATGACAGTCTTAATGAGGTGATATTGTGGACGCCGTAGGCATTTTCAGAGGGATTTCTAAGGTAGAGAGTAGTGGCATACTTCCTCAACGTGCACGACTCACAACCACCTTAATCTGCAATAACTAAGCAAAAATTGGATGGTGATAAAGCAATATGCTGGATACGGATAAACCACTCAGACTCAATGCACCCCAACCCAAGAGATACTAAAAAAATATAATTGAAAAAATTGTTATACAGACAGGAAAAGTTGTGTTAAAATTATGATATAAAATCATTCTTTTGTTTTCGCTAGACAGCCCAAGTTTTTCAATTAAAATAGATGGTTCAGAACATGATATCAAAACTTCGTAAAAGTTAAATTTTAACCCCCAGATAACTGAACTTGCGTATCATACATGCTTCAAGAGACAGGCACAAAATGTTGCTTTTCTTCACCCAACGGCATAAGTTTTGAAAATAACAGTGTCATGACAACTTTATCTCAGTTCAAGAAACAGTAGACTATGCCCTTGCTTATAGAGAACTTTATTTATTTATTATTTAAACTTTATATTAACTCCCCTTCTAAGCTTCCCGGTTTCATTTTATTAAAGACGAGATAATTTCCAATTTTACCCCATTTTGCGCGGAATTTATAACATGCTGGGTTGCTGGAGCTACAGAGTTGGCAAAAGGTTCTACAGAGACCATAATCAAAAGAAATTGCAAATTACTAATAAATAGTACAGTTCAAAATCCAGTACATTGGCAAGCATTTATTACCACACCCTGCGGCTCAAAATTTAAGGACTAACATTACATTAAAAACAAGACCCTTGTAGATGTGCATGGCTACTCTTAACTATTTATCCTCCTACACCGCTGCAAAGTAGTCTTTGCTAAGTTTAGGGTCTGGTTTCATGGATTTCTCCCCAGGCTTCCACCCAGCAGGGCAAACTTCATCTGGGTTCTCCTGCACATACTGTAAGGCCTGCAAAACCAATGCACATAAAGCGTGCAATGAAATCATGAACACGATAGAAATGAAAAAAGATAAAAACAAAGAAGAATGTGTTACTCCAAATATTGTTCAATCTTAATTTTGTCCTAACTCCTAATTAAGTGTATAATTACCTGAAGAGTTCTCTTAGTCTCATCAACACTTCTACCAATTGCCAAGTTGTTAATGGTAGAATGCTGAATAACCCCTTCCTTGTCAATAATGAACAGTCCTCTCAATGCAATTCCCTATATCATTGGATATATTCACAGTCATTAGGATACAAGTTCAACAAAGGGGAATGAAAAGCAATAGAAGCCAGCACTTGATGCTTGATGCTACCTACTAAGGCTATTTCCTACACATTTCATTCAGAAGATTATTGAAACTAAAGCATAAAAGACAAGGTTTAGGAAAGGAAAAAGCATAGACATTGTTCAAGTCCTTAAAACACCATATAGAAACCTGATTTGATTGGATAGCAAGTCGATAACTCCAAAATTAAGCAAAGGGTAGTCCATGCCTCATAAGAAACATGATATGCCCTGCTTGGGTTCATTTAATGAGAGAAAAGACACCAGACAAACTAAATGACTGCTATTTTCTTATAATCCATCCATCCTTACCTTAGACAATTTTTCAAACAAATATAATGTCAGCGCCTACCTGATCAGGAATAAGAACACCATACGATTTTGATATGGATTTGGTGACATCAGAAATCAAAGGATAATTCAAGTCACCAAGTCCACCTGACTTTCTATCCGTTTGAATCCATGCAAGGTGCGAGAACTACAACAATAACAATAGCATCATTAATCAAGAAAAAAATAAATCTGAAAGTTCCATCAGATAGGCTATGGCACAGACATTACAGCATAAAGAACTTACTAGAATCCAACACAAGGAGCCTTGTTTTTCAAGGGCTTGCATCAGCATTTTAAGAGTATTGTTGCTTATGCAACACTAGTGTGCATAACTTAATAAATATTATTAAATTACGAATCACATAACTTTTGTAGATCAACAAAAACACAATTTCAATTATCTAAGTTTAACTGAAGCATCCAATATCCATTCAGATATTGTCCTTACCCTTTATTTATGAAGTAATTTCCTCTTATCACACTTTTATAACGAGCATCAACTTTTCAGAGACAAATGAAAATACAGAACGTATAAAGTTTTAATTTTTATCAATTATGCTAAGAACTAGTTTATCCCAACAAGATCAATCTAATACACTATAACAAAGCTGTAAGTGGACCTAATCGTTTTCATATACTTCATTTTCTTCACTAGCTCATATACAGCGGGTAAAAGTATGTCATATGAAGCAGAATGTGAAAGTTTACACACACACACACATTAACTGGGCCAAGAATAATTAAAATAAAATCTCTGAACTAAACTCACCACACTGTCAACTGAAACACCCAATATCTCAGTATTTAGTGCCTCGAACTCTGCATGCCGGTCACTGAAAGCAGTGATTTCTGTGGACAAGTGACAGGTTATTGCTAGGGTGTTAACAATAGAAGGATTTGATAATTTTCTTTTTCTAGGGAAAAACAACCCTTTTTTTAAGGAAAAAAACTCTTAAGAAACTAACAAAAAATAAACTATTATTTCTTCAAAATAACTCGAAGCCAGCATGAACAAATGCACTAATATGAAATTTCTCAACCTGATTATAGTTTACTAAGTGGTTATTTAGTTTAAAGTTGAGTGAACATGATTTTGATAAAATTAATTTTAAAAATATGAAGCATGGACACATCTTTTATTTGAAGTGTCGCCGAGTCAAACACGTTCCCAACACCAACACTTTCTGGACACTTGTTCAATGCATGTTGAACACTTCTTATTAAGTGTCCAATTAAAAAAAATATTATTATCGACTCAAATACTTTAGTTGACACCTCTACATAACACAACTCGAATACTTGAGCAAGCACTTCAATACAGATGGAAACACCATTTTGTAAGGTTCATTATCATAAATAACAAAACCATCGTGTCCGGCGTCTGTGCCATGCTTCATAGATTTTAAATAGTTGAACATGCTTGAAATACATTCATAAATTAATCTAAACCATATATTTTTAATTATACGTGTATTTTTTTTTATTGAAAATACAGAATTAATTTATCAAGTTTTAAAGAAAGAAGCACTAAAACGTGGACTAACCTGTGGGACAAACAAAAGTGAAGTCCAATGGGTAGAAGAAGAGCACAACATATTTCTTTCCAATGTAATCAGAGAGTTTGACCTGAAACGACAATGCTTTAGCTAAAAACGACGAAACTTTGGAATATAAGAAGCTAATAATAAGTAGTTATATAGGCTAGGTTACGTTGATGAACTCCTGATCAAAAACAGCCTCTGCTTCAAAATCCGGTGCAGTATTTCCAACTAATGGAAGTTCACTCTGAATTAAAAAAGAAGCAAAATTAAACATAGTTGTTATACTTTATCTATGGTGTAATTAAAAGAACTAAAGATTGGGAAAATGAATGCTTACAGAGGCTTTGACGACGAAGGAGCGACGGGAATGAGAGGAGCGAGAGAGGGAAAAGGGTTTGGTAAGAGCGTTGAGATTGAGGGAATTGGGAATGGAGAGAGAGGGTTTGGAAGAGAAGAGAGGTTTGGGTTTGGGGTTTAGAGAGAAGAGAGAAGCAGAGGTAGCTGAGCATGCCATTATGCTATGGAATATGAAATTATGGATACTCTGCTCCAAGAAGGGAATGAAAGAGAGGTTGAAATGAGATTGGGTGGGTGGGGTGAGATTTCAAGATAAAGTCAGTGCGGAGAAACCAACCACCGTTTGTCTACAATTCTACCATCACCCTCACTTACTCCTAATTATTATTGTTTAAACATTCTCTTGCTCTGGATTATTACATCAAATCTATTAAAAATTATAAAAATATAAAAAATAACATTAATTTAAGAATAAAAAATAATGAAATTTAAATAATTTTTATAGTTTTTAATAAATTATAATTAATAATCAGAAGTATGATAACAAAAATGTGTTAGAAAATATATTGTTGTCATGATTTTTCACATAATTATTAAACAAAAAATATACAAATTATTTATTACTTACTTTATTAACTAATTCAAAATATTTAATCTTCTTTATAGTGTGTTCATAAGTAAATATTAGAAACTGATATTGCAAAATTATATATGAAGGTTATACTTCTATTGATTAATTGAGTTTTCATTATTATATTGTAGGTTTAAATATTTTTCGCCTTTTTTAAAAAATATATCTTCTTTTTCCTTTAGTTTTTAAAAAAATTACTTGAATCCCTAAAAGTATTTATGATTGTTTTTGTTTAATCACTGTTGTTAATGTATTGCTTAGGGTAGTCCTTGCAAGGGTATTTTGTTTACTTTTTGGTTTTATTTTGTAGGCTGTTAAGGTTTCTTAACTATTTTGAGATAGAATGTGTTCATGAATGGTATTTTAAAATACAATTTTCATTTTTTAATACAATATTACTTTTATGGAAAGTAAATAAAGTATTTTTATGAAATATAAACAAATTCTCCCGTCGTCGTGTAAGTAGATTACATCTAAAAAAATAGTATTTGAGGTACAATGTTACACTTTTATGAGGTCAAATTTAGGAGTATTTTTGGAGTATTTTTGGTCCAATGATTTTTTCACGTAATAAGCATGTGAATTATTAACTGTGAAATTAGATGTCTCGTTAATGAAATGACTTCTTTAAACATTTTGTTACAAATGACCAAATATACAAGAGCAAAGTGAACTTTTTTTAAAATAAATTAATTACGTAATTTAAGTAAATTTCATAATTATTAATTGAATAATTACTCTAAAGAACAAATAAATACTTCAACAAACTCTATTGATTTTAAGCATTATATCTTCAAATTTTAATTAAAAATATATTTCTTAATTGATGCAATTCTATGAATCAAGTATTTCAATGGGATATGAGTTGAAAAATATTGTTGCATGTCTCAACTTTCAACAACGTAAAACTAGCCCAGACAATTATCTCTTTCCGCTTTTTTTTTTCTGTTATAACTGGGCTTCCCTCAATCAAAGCCCGATAACAAACTTCGGATCGTCCCATTGCGTTCGGTTCACCTCGTGTTTCCTCTAAGGGGCGTTTGGTATCGAAATATCTCTTATTGTTCGTAAAAATTTAATTTTTTAAAAAACATTTTTAAAATATAGTTTAAATATTACTAATTTTATATGAAATATAGATAATCATCGTTATTAGGAGAATTATTTATTGAAAATATAATGGATTCTCTTACAATAATTCAAATTTTAAAGTATTTTTAAATTTTATATACCAAGCATAAAAAACGTAATATTCTTAACTTAATATGCTTCAAAAATTTAAAAAAAGAACTCTATCAAATACACCTTAATTTAAAGACTAATCTATTTATTCTCCTAGATTACCAATTTGGGAGTTTAAATAAATTAACTAACCTTTTAGTTAAATTGGTTCGATGATAAATTGAAGAAAAGATATGAAAAAAGAAACGGAAAAGGCATAGTTGAATTGTGCGCACAAAAGCAACCATTCAACTCTTTCTTTTTTGTTTTGTTCCGAAGTTGAAGTGTTGTTTATTCCAACGCAGTTTTATTTCCCGCGATGTATTTTGGTCAGAACAGTGACTATAAAAAGCAGCTTTGACATCAGAATTCACTTCCAGCTGGACCGTAATGGTTGGAAAATGACTGCTCCAACAAGTAAAAGTGTTCCAAAATAGATTCAATTCAAGATTCTTGTTGATATAATAATCATCATTACATGAAAGTCTTTTTTTTTTAACATTGTCATTATATTTAAACTAAATTCTTATATTTTAATAAAAAAAATTCAAATGTGCCCATATTCTTATATTCTTCGACCTTTCTTAAATGCTTATATTTGATATCTTCGTAAGAAAACTTGGAATTTGGATTTCCTACGGTTAGAAAAATAACTCCAGGATCTGTAGTCTCATTTTTCACATCATTCATTTTCTACAGTTACATTATTTTTTATTAATATTTATTTTTAAAAATATATATTAATGATTGAGATAACTGTAATTAAAATTGATTGTATAGGATCTCGATTCAATAAGTTGTTTGCATTGAACTTCAAAAGATATTTGCTTCTCTCTGATCTAATAAATATGGTGTGCTGAATGAAAGCTTATTTTTCTTAGGCTTTCGTGATTTAATTTATGTATAATTTTAGTTTTTTATTTTAATTGTTTATCTTGAATTTATTATTTTTTAATTATTCAAATTAATTTTTTCACCTCAAAATGTAGTGAATATCTTTTTTACCTAGTTTGGACTTTGGAGTAAACAACTAGCACGGCAATAATGGAATTTTAGGCTTCATCAAATGAATAGCTAAAGGTTTTAACATTGCTAAAATTCACTGACTATAGATCAATTTATAGACCAAACCTAAATACTACAAAAAAATATAATTAATATGTAAACTAATTGCTAAAACATTTTACAGATCAAAATAGAGACCGATAATTTAAAAAAATTTATTGACTAAAATATTAATAACTAACTTGAAACTTAAATTGACACAAAAAATAAAAACAAAATTATTTAAGATTTAGAGAATAAAATTTTAGTCCCTTACTCTTGACGATATTAGAGAATGGTTTTTTGTTCTTTAATTGTAATATAACTAGAGATTACTACTATGTATTTGCTGATTAACAAGTTTAAAGATTGCTTTTTTAATCGCTTAGTTAAATGTGAAAAAATACTAAAATTTTAATCTCTAGAAGGCCTTGCAAAGTTTGTGTTTATTTAGAAGTTCAATGTAATTAAAGACTGAAATTTATCTCTATAATAACTATTAGCAAAATGTAGTTAGGTTTTAGAATTTTTAAATTATCCTCTTCACCTCTAAACTCCAGTACTGATTTTGTGCTATGCTCTGCATACTTTTCCTTTAAGCTTTCTCATCTTCTATTCACCCTATTCATTTCTTCTCTCTTGGTCTTGTCATTTGCAATTTCAAACTTCTTTTCCTTGCCATGCACATGTTTTTTTTTGGTCTTTTGTGGTGCTCTTTTGTAAAGTTCTCTGTCTCAATAATAAATTGGATAAGATTTTTATCTATTGACAATCTATGTTGTGATTTTTATTTGAGATTCCTCTTTCATATTGAATTTGTCTAAATGAGATAAAACAATATTAAAGAAAAATTTGAATAAAGTCTGTATCACAATGAATAAACTAAAATGACTTAGAAATGATGTGTGGAATAAATTATGTAAGCACTGAAAAAGTGGTGACTTTAAAAATAAAAGTATACATGAAAAAATAAATTAGATATTTGACTCCATAGAATCATTTCACACTAAACATAAAACTGATTAATTTAATTAACTTCTTCTCTTAACATTTGATTTATTATAAACATGATTAATAAATATGCAGTGATTTGCTAGCTAAACTCAAAATTCTCTTTACTTTTAATTTATATTATTTGTCTATTTTTCTTAGACAAAATTACATGACTTTGCTTTACTCTATCAAAATTGTTTCCATGTATACACCAACTTAAGAAAAATAAAACATGAAAAGACAAGGGATTAACACACAGATATAAGTAAAACTTTTGTATTAATTTGCCGTGTAGTGTATGCCTTTCATGACCTTATATTGTTGGGCTTAATAGGCAAACTTTCAATTTGAATGACTAAATGCTTCAGTGAATGATGAAAAAGAAAATCCTTCAACTTTATAATTTTCAATCAATATCATACTTGCCACGCAGCAAATGAGGATAAATTTCAATCATGCAAAATCTGAATTATAATGACAATTTTAATATTTGTTAAAGTTATTACCTTTTTAAATAATTTTTTTTATTAAAACACGAGATTTATCAATTTATAATATTTTTATGATAATTTGTATCAAAATTTATATAATTTAAATATTTGTAAGTATGTTATTCAACAAATAATATTTACTAATGTTTTAATATCATATTACACATTTAAAAAAAAGTAAGATAGTAATGTGTGTCTATTATTATTTTTGTATAAATTTTTTAAAATTTAATTTACTTGATAAAACTTTTAAATCAATAGCAAGATTTTAAAAAATATTTTTTTTTGGTAAATTAATATCAACTCATGTAAAGTTTAAAAAGTATTTTACATATTCAGATGGGAGAGTATGATTCCTTTTACCTTTTTATTTTTTTTTCATAAATAATTATTCAGAAAATTATCAAGCTTTTTACATTCTTTGTTACAAGATGTCTACATATTCAACATAGAAATATTTTAATTAGCTTCAATTCGATGCTGATTTTTTTTTTTTTTTATTTATCAAAGTGAGTGTTCAAGTGTTTAAAAGTTCAATTTAAGTGAATTTGACTATTTGAAATTAATATTTTAAAAAGCGAATTTAAAGTAACATAAATTTATGTTTGCAAACCTTTCTCTTAAAAGTAAACGTGTGATAAAATTTAGTATAAATTATCGATTCTACATACGTGTGTTTAAACATATTAAAAAAAGTCTATGGACGTGGATATAAAACATTTTAATATAAAACCAAACACACTGATTTAAACGGGATTCTATGATATTTTAAAGTGTATATAAACATGCATAAACTAAAATAGATCTTGCATTTTTATTTCAACTGATATTTAGCTCTCTTCAAATGCTTTACCTGTGGTTCTTGAGATTATTTTTTTCTTTCTATTCTAATAAAGAAAAACAATAATTTGACTTGTTTTCTTTCCTAAAAACAAACATGATAGAGTGAAAAAATTACAAGAAAGCCTTAAAAAACTTACAGAAAAACAACAAAATTAATAGATGTAGAAGACAGGTACTGGAACTCGAACAAGAGTCAAGGAAGGGAGAAGAATTAATTTGACCTGAAAAAGGCATTTCGAGTACACATTTGAGCGAAAAAAATACGGGAGATACAAGTGAGGTGTTACTTAAAGTCAATTCAATACCATAAAATTTCTTTTATATTTAACTTAAATTTAATTAATTATAATTTATTTTAGATTTAAGTTAAATCAAAAGCTCAAATTAGATTTAAGAGTTTTTAAATTTTTATCTATATAAAAAATTCTATTTCATATATATATATATATATATATTAATAATTGATGTGATAAACGCCTACATATTTTAGAAATTGATCAAAGTTTAAAATTGCATAAAAAAGAGACAATCTTTTGAACAATAATATTGAGTATGAAGATTTTTTTAATAAAAAGTATAATGAATCATTATTAATTAATTTGGAGAAAAATAATCATGCATGTTGATTAAAATTTTGTAAATAAAATTCAATGATGAAAAAAAAGCTTTTATCAGTAAAAAAATAAATTTTATGGTATTATCTCTAAGATAAAGGAGTATTCTATACTCTATTACACAATGAAATAACAATTTATTTAAAAAAATATAAATATTTTTAATTTTTAAAATATTAAAAAAATCACATATTTTAGTCTAAAAAATATATATAATGGAGTATCGTAGCAACACTTAATAAAAATAGTATTTCATTTGGTATTATGTTTTAAAATTAAAACAGATTAAAAGTTAAAAGATGTTTTTTATAATTATTTTCTTAACTTAAATAAATCTGTAACATTTACGCACGTCTTGCATAATTAGTTTCGTATTTGTTTTTTAAGTCTAGGACTATATGTATTTTTAACATTGTAAACATTCATAAAATTCAAATTCAACACTTTGTTAAACTGAAATATTATATATATATATATATATATATATATATATATAATTTCAATCAACTACCTGTTATTATTATTCTTTTACCATTACTAAAAATATTTCTGATGGAGAATGTAAAAGACCTCGTCTGTACAGTGTTAATGCGTATTATCATTTATTAATCAATTTTTAATTACGAAAAATATATTTTTTTTTCTCTAAATACTATTATTCAAGTTTCAGTGGTGTACAACACCTTATAATTTAGTAAGTAGCATTTATGCTCATTCATGTTTCACCAACCTTAAAAAACATAAATATCCCATATACATATTCCACGTTTCATTGATATGAAATCATAGCATGACGATTTTTCTCTTAATTTTAACATACATTACACGAATCACACGGTTTATACTAATCATTTAAGCAGAGAAATTGAGATTAAAAAAAGAAGAAGAAAAAGATAGGAGCAAAAAGACAAAAAGGCCTTGGGTTGATTTCATAATAATAATAAAAAAGTGAAAAAGATATAAATAAATGTAAAAATGCAATAAGTAATAGTATTTATTATTTATTTCCGTTTTTTGCGCATGAACTTCCCTCCACATCTATCTGAAACCAAATTCCCTCCTTCCCTCGTTTTCTGCTCTCGCCTGCCTCTACGCCCCTAACGCTTTCTTTTTTCTTCCAAACCCTTTTTTTCTCTCTCTAAACCCCACTTTCTCTCTCTAAAACCCTAGTCCTCTCCGATCCTCTCCGTTTCCCTCCAACTTTTACCTCAATTCTGATTTCCCGCCGGGACCACAACCGGTTTCTCCGCTTCATGTCCGCCGGCGCTGGAGCTTCCGACCGCCGTGCATCGCCGCCGAGGGAGACTGCCGGCGCCCCGAACCGGCCGCCGATGAAGCGCCACCTGACCTTCGTGACGAAACCGCCGTTTGCTCCGCCGGATGAATACCACAGCTTTTCGGCTTCCGACTCTCGGAGAGTCTCTGCCGATCGCGAGGCTGAAGCCGTCGTCGTTAGATCTCCGGTGCGTCCTTCCTTTTCTGTCTCTCCGTTCCCGAATCCGTTTTGTGTTTGAGTTTGGGGAAACTGCGACTTCCGAATCTGAAATGTTCTGTTTTCTGTGTACGTTTGTGTTAGGTTGATATTTTACTCTTTTGTTTTGTTGGATCTTCTTTTCTCTTCCTGAATTAGTTGGTTTGACCTTCATTTTTATTTTATTGGAGCGAAATGTTGGTTGTTTTCTGTTTGTTTGCTAATTTGTTAATTTATTAATTTCATGCCGAAAAGTTCAGTTCAGTTCTCTATACCGGACCCAAACACAAAGTTGTGGATCAGTCCTCTTCTTAAGAAGCTTTGGTCGGTGCCTAGTGTGGTAGTTCTCTGCAATAATTGGGTGGAGGCGCATACAGGAGGTTGATAGAGTGGGAATTTAACGTCTGCATTTTGGTTTGCTTTTGAAGCGATGGGTTGTTGATATGTGGTCTTTGCTTGCTGGCAACTTAGCTAATGCTTAATTGCTGAACAGTTAGGTTTTGGGTGGATAAAATGATTGCACATTTGGCTTGTTCATTAGACTGATCTTTGTGGCCACGTGTAGTTTGTCGAGTTTTAGTGTCTGGGTAATGCTCGCTTATGAACTTTTTCATTTGTGATTCAATGTGATGAGATTGAATTGATTTGGTATGTATGTTCCCCCGCTCCCTTTTTATTTTTAATATTTTAAGGAATGTTGTAATTAGCATCGTTATAATTTTTGTATAGATCAAATTATTACCTTTGTTTGATTGGTTGCCTAGTGTCAGCTTTATCTGGACCATATCTTAATATGTATAACTGGTGTATGTACCTTTGGTCAACTCTTTTTTGTGCTATCTTACGTTTATGGAACTTGACGGTGGTGCCAGTTCATGAAGCGGAAGAGCGGAATGAATGACAGCGAAGGAGATTCACACTCTCAAAAGTGGAGTAACAGCCCTGGATACGCTAACGTAATAAATAGTCCCTTCAAAACTCCTGTGTCTGCAAAAGGAGGAAGGACACATAAACCAAAGGCTTCCAAAGAAGGCAAATCATGTCCTCCGACACCCATCCCAAATGCCGGTGAGAAATGTTTCCATTATCTTTCCCGTATAACACAGTTTTGTATTTCGAGAATGGAGACAATTTATGTCCACATTTTGATCCACTTCCTTGCTGTGCTGCGGCTATAATATACTGTGTTTAATCGTACTTTTTCTAATGACATGCAGGTTCCCCTTCTCCTCCTACTCCTGCTGGCAGCTGTCGTTATGACAGTTCCTTAGGTAAATTTGAAGCAATCGTAATCAATAAGATATTTTCATTTCACTTTCCTCATTTGAATGGCTGATGGAGTTACTTCCATGAGAAAAGAATGACAAAATTATACCAGAACTTCACAGGTCTCTTGACAAAAAAGTTCATCAATTTGGTCAAACACGCAGAGGATGGTATTCTTGACCTAAATAAAGCAGCAGAAACTCTGGAGGTCCTTTTTATTTTCTAAAAATATTTATGAAAAAAAAATCTGATGTTTATCCTTTCTCTATCATATATGAATTTAACATTTCCTTTTGTATAGGTGCAAAAAAGGAGGATATATGATATAACTAATGTTTTGGAAGGCATTGGTCTCATCGAAAAAAAACTCAAAAACAGAATACATTGGAAGTACTATGTGACACATTTTGTAATTTTTCTGTAGTATGTATACCTTGAAGTTTTGATGTATGTAGTAGAACCAAATTCTTACATCAAAACCTTGTGGAATGTAGGGGAATTGAATCTTCTACATCTGGTGAGGTGGATGGTGATATCTCTATGCTAAAGGTAAGTTATGTGGTTTTTTTTCTTGTTTAGGGTTTAGAAGTGCTATAGATTTATTAGTGTCATTGACGTAGCTCATGTATCCTTGTTACCATCCATATTGTCTTTATTACACCGCTGAACATATATTGGATCCAGACCTTTTTTAGTCAAGATTCTATTCTATCATGATTCATGATACGAAGATGTTTAAAAGGAATAAAATGATTTAGTAGTTATTAGCATGATACAGCATATTTTAAATATGATGTTGACCTTGTGGCTTTGATTTAGTAGCAAGTTACAGCGTATTGTTAATTGTGCTGTTGGCCTTGTGGCTCTGTGTTGCAGGCAGAAGTTGAGAAACTTTCATTGGAAGAGCAGGGATTAGATGATCAAATAAGGTTTTATGGTTGCTTTGCAATAGAAAAAGCAGAATTTGCTATTTTAAAAATGTTGGCTAATGCTGATTTTCTAAACAATTGGCAGGGAAATGCAACAAAGGCTTCGTAGTTTGAGTGAAAATGAAAACAACCAGAAGTAATCTACTCCCCATTATTTTCTTAGATTCATTTTCCCTCTGCCCTCCTGTTCATAAACAAGATTACACTGTTATCACTATATGATAAATCTATACCAATTTTAATTCTTTTTAGGTGCCTTTTTGTGACTGAAGAAGATATCAAGGGAGTACCTTGCTTCCAGGTCAGTTCTGATTGCATTGTACTACTGCTTTAACCTTATCAATTGTTATTAACTTATTATAAGCGTTGCATATGCTGTTTTTTCCTGTTCATGCTGATTACTGTTATGGTTTTTCCTTTTATTAATACTACTGCATTTATACAAGCAGAATGAAACTCTGATAGCAATTAAAGCTCCACATGGAACCACCCTGGAGGTCCCTGACCCTGAGGAAGTAAGTTTAGGGCATAAATTGATGAAAGCTTCACGAACTTTTTAAAACTGTGTTTCTGATGCATGATGGAGAATGATTACTTCTATATGCATCAGGCTGTTGACTATCCACAGAGGAGATATAGAATCATTCTTAGAAGTACAATGGGTCCTATTGATGTCTACCTTATCAGGTATATGTGTGTTGGCTAGTCTTATTTATTTAATTTTTTCATTTTTTTTTTCTCTTGTCCATCTAGAAATCACAGTATTAGTTTTGATTTCCTTAATGCCTTTTTTTTTTCACTGGATATTCTCACAAGTCACAAGCATCTTTGTGAGACTAACACTACGGTAGGGGATGGTGGTTGGGTAAGCCCCTTCTTGGGGTGGCCACATCATGCTTTTCTCTACTTCTCTAGTTATCCATCTGATTATGCATTTTCCATTTAATTGTTGGAACTTCTGAACTGTTTCAGTCAATTTGAAGAGAAATTCGAAGAGATTAATGGTACTGAGCTCCCCACGAGCTTCCCACTTGCTTCAAGTTCTGGGTCCAATGAACAAGTAGTGACCGAAACAGTTCCTTCTGAATGCAGTGGAAAAGAACTTGAACCTCAAGCTCAGTTCTCTTCTCATGCATACACTGATCCAAATGCTTCACAAGAGTTTGCTGGGGGCATGATGAAGATTGTCCCTTCAGATGCTGATGTAAGTATATCATAATCAAGATGTGAGGTTACCCTCTTCCCTTCAAGAGGGAGTTGTGGGCTGCACTGTGGTTAAATGTAATCCTGTCATTATGATTAAGTTCTTCTGATGGCATATTTTAAAACTTAGCATTTAATGGTTAGATCTGAGTGGTTCTTTGGTGCAACGTGTTGACGACGTTTGCTGATATTCTTGTTATTTTTTGTAGAATGATGCTGATTATTGGCTTCTATCAGATGCTGATGTTAGCATAACAGATATGTGGAGAACAGATTGTATCCTTTTTAAATGTTTTCATGTCTTTCTTTCCTTGTTCTTCTGTCTCATGTCATCTTTAAAGTAATATATCTAATTCCTAAACTCCTAACAAAATAGCCACTATTGATTGGAATGGGGTAGACATGCTTCATCCTGACTTTGGAATTATGTCAAGGCCACAAACTCCATCACCTGGGTTTGCTGAAGCGCCATCTGCGGGAGCAAATTCTAGTCAGAGGTGATTTTGATTTGCCTAATAGTGCTGTATCAGAACGTATGGTTAGCCTTCATCCTTTGCACAGAGGGAAACTGCTTCAATAGAGTGATTGCTAGACTTGAATGTTGAGGATGCATTTTGGAGCTGTTGAAGGTCAAGCTGGGAGTGGTTGCTATACTTCAGTAAAATCTTTGACCCTCTTATGAATAAACTAGTAACGGTAGACATACTACGGTTGTAGAGGATTTAGCTTGGAAGGTAGAGCAGTTGCAACAAGTTTTATTACAGAAGTGTTGCTACTGTATGAAATGCGAACAAGGTAAATTCCACAATTAGTATAATGTCATATGATTAGCCAAATTTGAAGTCTGGCATCATGGTTCCAGGTTTTCGAAGATGAGAGCAGCTATATAGATGCTGACCACAGACAAACTACTATTGGTGTACTAGATAATGTTAGGACAAGACGTCGTTACTGAATTTTATCATTCATGCTGGTTGTAAACATTTCATAAACTGTCTAATGACAAAATGATATTAACGATCTTCTCACTTTTGTCCTTCATTTTGCATTTCTTCTTTTTAAAATGGATGTCACTTTGAGTTGTCTATTTGCATGAATGCTGGACATCATGGAACTCTTGAAAATTACTGGAGCGCCTGAGGATGGTACTGTACAGTTATTCGATTTCACCTATATATAAGCAGGAACATATTTTCAATGTGTTGTTGGGGGCCTGGGGGTTTATGACTAAAAGGTACTTCGTTAGTTCTGTTGTAGAGCTGTAGCCATTTATTATCTGCAATCTTTCCATTTTTAGGATTGTTCTAAAGAAAATTGACACTGCTGGTGCTAAATAAAACAAGTTGCCAATTTAAAAGGTTTTGTGATAGTGTACCTTTTGTTTATTGGGGGTGGTGGATTTGACAAACGTAAATTTTATGATTGGCCAAGTAGACAAGTCAACGTATGACTGCGGAATCTGCTGATAATTCATTTTTCATATGGATATATTGATTTTGCAGCCGGAGGCTGAATACTTCGATACCAGTTCATGAAGTTTAGGGAGGAGGAAGTGCAGTTCGAAGTGAACAGCCAGTGATAACGAGGATTGAACGGAGGAATTGTGTAATAAATTAAATTAGTGTTGGATTTTTCTTTAATTTATAAATTAGCATTATTTAATTATTTTAGGCCAACATTATTTAATTATTAAAATATTGTTGAGTTATAAAATAATAATTACGAATACTAAAATTGTCATACCAAAGTTATTGCGATAGATATATGTTATTAAGTATTTTCTATGATAGTTCAGAATGAGTTGAGTTCTCAAGTGATGCTCTATTGAAGTGTCATTGATCTCATCTAAACAAATAATAGGTTGCGTTTCCGTTAAACACTTTAAAGGTACGCATGTAAGTTAAGGACAGTTTCGTATAAAATGAAAAATTCATGTAAGTTTCTATACTAACAATTTTTTACAATAAAAATATTGATTTGTGAGCTTGCTTTAATTTAGCAGATTAGATTCGCTCGGCTTGGCAGCAATGTGCGTATCTTCACAGGAGGGGAAAGATAAGCCCACCTCAGCCCACAACTTAAATAACAATTATCCCTCCCGTGTCCAAAAATTGGGAATTTAGTTCACGCTTGGCTTAAATGAATTATTTATTATACGAAGAGCAGTGTTACTAACATAATCTCTACCGTATTTTTTCTGTTAGAAATTATAAAGTTATAAATACAATTTATTAAATTAAGAGCAAATTTTACACGATTTTATAATTTTTAATAAATTTTAATTAATGATAAAAGAATATTAGTAAAAATTTATTGTAAGTATTTTTCGTTTTATGAATGAGAATGACAATAAAAATGGGAGTGGACAAAGAATAAAACAGTACTTCCAATATCGAGTTTAATTTGGTTAGTAATGCCATTTAATTTCTATGGTTAGTAATGGAATGGCCATGGACGCAATAAATGTCCCTGAGTAAATTGTGTGCTTGTTTCCGATTGAGAAGTCATTTTACTATATATTGACTCATTCAGCACACGCAACTAAAGCGGGACCAGCTCATTATTACATGCCCAAACGCCTTTCACGTTTTTATTTCAAGTAGCTTTTAGGAACACATATGTCTTATCATTACTTTTTAAAGTGATTTTTATTTGAATTTTTTTTATTTTTCTCTTATAACTATTAATAGTAAGAGTATTTTATATTAAAAAAGTAAACAAAAAATTGTTCTCTTCTATGCTGCCTTCTTATTTCATTTCCATTTTTATTTTTGTTTTAAATTTACATAGTTGAGTTTGAGTTTGTGGTTTCTTTTTGTATGGATGCTGTTTGTCATCTAGCTTTGTACTTCATTTATGGCAAAGTGTGGTTCTGTTATTTCAAGGATTCCATGCTGTTTATATTACTCTTAAACTTAAAAAAATATTATATTATTTTTTAAATTAAAAAAATGATTTTTTAATATCTTAAAAATTTAAAAGTATGTATGCTTACGTTTCATTTTATCTAGTAAAGGTGACTTTGTTTGAGGTCATCCAATAAAATGGGGAATCGGAGCGAAATTGAGAACATAGCCAAAAGTATTTTCGATCGTAGGATTTTAATGTTATATTTTATTTATTTTAAATTAAGTGTCATTTTAGTGTTTTTCTTATATTAAGTAACGTTTTAAAATTTTAATAAATATATTTTTAAAATTTCATTTGTCTTAAATAAATAATGAATTTAAGGATTTTTAAATACCTAGTGAGTCAAATTTTCAATAAATAAAATAAATAATAAGGATAATTTATTAAAATTATTCTACTGATTAAGATTTAAAAATATAGTCTAAAACAAAACAAAATATTAAAAATAAAAATATAAAAGTACACATATATATATATATATAATTCCTCCCTTGTGATGTGAAAGGTCCACTTAATCGCTTTAAACTTGGACTGCAAAGAAAATGATTCTCATTCGTATATGATATGCCAATAAATAAACTTAAAAATGCTTCTCAATAAATAATAATAATAATAATAATAAATAAAGGTATTACTATTTCTTTTACCTCATATTATTTATTTTTAAGAAAATAGAAATTAATTACACCAAGTATAATGATAATTAGTTTTTTTTAACAAAATAAGTTTATTAAGGAGTTAAAATATAATTGTAATCCATGTAAATATTTAGGTGACATACTAATAAATGAATATATTAATAATATACAATAATAAACATTTTGAGATAAATTAATTTTTTGAAGTCATAAATAATTTAAGTAATATGGAATAATAGAGTAGTGCTATAATTATTCGATTTTTGTGAAATGTATTTAAAAGTACACAATAAAAATATACATATAATAATTTCTTATAATAAAATAAAAGATTACAATATTAATAATATGAAATATTATATCTTTAATAAAATTATTCTTTATTAATTTTTATTATATATACATATATAATATTTCATGAACTTTAATTTAAATATTTTAAAAAATAAAACATTACCAAAATTAACCAAACCGTTAATATATAATGCCTTTGTGAGTCACAGAAAATGATAGAGGAGCATTAGGGAAAGTGACACCTTTTAATATTGAAATATGTCGGCGAGAAGTTAACAGTTGTGGGGCTTCTTTCGCCCTGTGATCTTCCAACGTGGTGTCAACTTTCCTCCATTCTTTTTTATATATTTATGGTTAAAGGTGTTTCACATTTAATTGTAAAAATAAAAACTATTCAAGTTGATTTTTTATTTTTTATTGTTTTCAAATATCAACAACTCTATTTAATATCTTTTTCATGTTTTATTTTTTTATTTGTATCTATGCAGAGTTTGATAACAGCTTTCACCTCTGAATTTTGTTTTAATATTAAAGTGCCTCCATCGGGTTCGTATGTAAGCACCTAGAAGATAATGTGATCTGATAATGATAAGATCGAATATAATTTGACTCAAAAAGGGTTAGGTTCAATTCTTATTAGTGATTCTTTATTGACAGATTTTTTGCAATTATTACCAAAAAAAAATTGTTATTTCAATACTCTAATAAAGTGTACCCACTCTTGGAAAACATGGAAAAAAAAAAAAAGATATGAAAATAATAGAGGTTAGTTTTTCTAAGCCTTCACTTAGAATTAGGCATGTTGGACTCTCAGATTGATAAAATTCTTATGTTACATATTAATAGGGATCATATTAATACGGATGTATTTGTTTAGGATTTTGTAGAATTTTAAAAGATTTTTTTTAAGTAAAAAAGTCTTTTGGAATTTAATTAAGATTTTATGTCACTTAAAAATAATTCAGTGATATTTAATTTAAATTTTTAAGATTTTTTAAAGAGTCCACTAAAATTTATTAGTATTTATTTAAAATATTTTACAACTTAAAAATAATTCATTAGTATTAAAAAACATAAAAATTTAAAGAATTGTTGTATTAAAGAGATTTTGAAGGACTTTTTAGTGGTGTTTATAAATACTAAATTCATAAAACAATTTCATCCAAATCTATCAAATTTTGGAGAATTTTTTGAAGTGATTTTTCAAGTGCTTCAATAATTTCTAGGTGAGTTGTTCATCTCTTTTTTTTTTATACTTTTGTCTTCTCCATTTTTTTTTTGCTAATAATATTGCACTACTGCTCATATACAATATTATACTACTGTTCTCATTTTATTCTCTTACTTGGTTTCTATTCTCTTATTTGGTAAAAACGTAAATGATGGTGCCATTAAATTATTCTATTTTGTTGAGTTTGTTCCTTAGATATATAACACAAAAAACGTTTAAAATTCTAACTTTTAAATAATATCCAGATGTGTTTCGACAAGTTTATAGGATGTATACAGATGCGTTTCAAAAGTTATGAGCAATTTTTAGAAAAAAAAAAAAATACTTCTAGAGGATACACGATATATTTGTGTTGAAGAAATGCTTTCATCATTCCTACAAACTTTTGGTCATAATACTCGATATTGTGTAATTCGTAACACATTTGGCCAATCATAATTTGTTACAAGTGAAAATTTTCACAAGATTTTGAAAGCTTTGAATACAATAGCACTTACTTTGATAGATAAACTAAGATCAATTGTGTCAGTTAAAATTAGAAAAAAATACAAGGTTCTTCCATTTCTTCAAGGTATGTACTTATTATCTTACAATAAAGATTATAATTAAATTTGACACTACTGTATTTATATTTTTTATACGATGAAGTGTTATATATGCTAAATTTTATAATTGCATTAGAGCTATTGACGGGACACATATTTCAACAGTGGTGAGGGGACGAGATATAAGCAATTATTGTAATCATCATGGAAAAATATTACAAAATGTATTAGTCGCTTGTAATTTTGATTTAGAATTTATGTACGTTCTCAATGGGTGGGAGGGTTCGACTCATGATTCTAAGTTATTAAATGATGTTATAACAATGAGGAATGAACTTAAGTGGCTCAAGATAAATACTTATATTTTAAATAATTATATTAATATTATATATATTGCATATGTAATTAGGTAAATATTTCTTAGTGGATTGTGGATTTTCTAACGATACTAATTTTTAGCTCAATTTCGAGGTGTAATTAGGTAAAAATTTAAAACTCTTTATGTTAAAAATTCACAAAATCCTGCAAAATTTATTAAAATCTTGACTTAAAAGTCTTGTACAATCCATTAGAATATTAATTTTAAAGTCTTGCAAAATCTTGCAAAGTCTTTTAAAATTTATAAAATTTTTTTCAAACTAAAAAAATCCTTTAAAATCCTAATCTAATACACCCCCTAAAAGTTAATATTGCCATAGTTACTATATTTTTTGTGTTTGTGTTTATTCATATGAAATATGGTGCCTTTGAAGAATTTGTAAGTTTGTTGAACTGAAGAATAAATTAATAGCAGAAAAAAGACTTGAGTATCCAAAATTTTCTATGAAATCCTTTTTGAGAGCTCCAAATGTTTTCTACCACCATGAGATCCTTCCCTGTAATTCCCACATTATGGAAAACTTGTAATGGTTATTAATAATGAATATTTTATCAAATAAAAAAGTAAAGCTTTAAAATTGAAAAAAATACAAAAGTACATATAATTCAAAGATTAAGGTTACAATAACCTTAAAATTTGATTTTTAACAAAAAAAAATCATTTATTAATTTAAGGTAAAATTTGACGTGTATTTATTAAATGTTGCTTATAGCAAGGATGAAACTTAATATCTGAAAAATGAAATACCAAGATATATTAATACGATGAGATGTTTTTTTTTATATGTTTATATATATATATATATATATATATTTTACTTTTTATATTTGAATTAATATTTTCCTCGTATTTTATACAAATAGATCTGAAGTTGCGATTATTCACGGAGAATCTGAAATTCAAAAAACAATAAAAGCCAAAGATACGTAAGTAATTGGAAAAGCGAGCCGTTGGAACCAAGCTACATGCGTTATTGTCCTCTCTTTTGAAATAGACTCGAAGCATTGATTTTGTGCAAACGCGTTTGTTCCTTTGACCAAATACTCTCTTCTCAGTGTTCACCCACCCATGGCCATGGCCATGCCCACCACTCCCAGAAAAACACTCTCCCTCAAATCCCCCTCTTACACTTCCCTCAGAGACGTGCTCCCTTTCTCCGCCGCCGCCGTCAACTCCCCCACCGCCTCCGCCGCCGCCAACCACCACATCTCCATCCGCAACCGCCTCGTCAAGCAAGCCGCTTGGGCCTACCTCCAGCCCATGTCCACTTCCCCAGCCGGCCCATCAGGCCCACACTTCTTTGACCCCAACCCTCTCGCCGCGTGTCTTAGCTTCATACGCGACCACATAGTTCCTTGTTTCACCCGAACCTTACAAGGAATACTCCACGCAATCAGAGCCCAAGTAGTAGCAATCCTTTGGTTCTTTGTGTAATTGAAGAACAGCTAATAAAAAGCAACGTGTGTAATGTAATTGCAAATGTAAATGTAAATGTTGTTTACTAGTATAAAATGAATGATGAATGACAATTTTTGGGATGCGAAAGAGGAAGCATAGTCTAATTTAATTAGCCCCATTATTTTTTACAGGGATTAAGGTTACTGTACAATTGTGGTTACTGTTGAACATGCTGAGGGGTTCGAGGGGATCGAGGGGATCGAGGGTTTTGTGTGTCTATCCGCCTGAGCCTCGCACGCGCGCTGTTGATTCTTTCCCTCACGCTCACAGCTTCACCGTCTATTGTGACAGGTTCGGGTTCCCATGCCTCTTCCTCTTCGGTTTGGGACTTTTGTGTCTCTGAGATCTTGCGGTGGATTGTGGCTATGCTTGGGGATGATGGAGGGCTTGGAGGCCACTTCTTGCTTTTGCTCAGGGAACTGCTTTGCTTCATCAACGACGTTTGTGTTTGTGTTTGCGTTTGCGTTGAAGCCACTTGTGCGCCACTTTGATCCTGCACTTCGTTTTTCTGCAATGTCGTCTACTTTCGTCAGTTACTTCTAAAATCATAGAATTCTGACTGTTTACATATAAAAAGAAAGGAACTGTAGATTATAAAGATTTATGATTAGCTACAGAGATGGAGAGACACGAGTAACTTTTGAGACTAAAAGTAAAAACTGAATCGTTATTTACTATTAATTTGACTTCAAATATTCATAAAATATAATTAATTGTAAATTAATAATGTAAGTTGAAATTTTATATAACTATAAATAGAACTTATAAGATTAAAAAATTTTGATGTGAAGAACTAGCTGTAGAGGTTAAGTTATGCTTAACCTTTTCATTTTAGAAGAACGAAAAGCATAGTTGGGTAATGACGAAGGGCTAGTGATAAAATAGAAAAGAAAAATAGTTGAGAAGCTAGCTAGGGAGGGAGAGAATGCATACCGGAGGAGTGGGGTTGGAGGAAAGTCTTGTAGATTGAGAAGCCAAGTGCTGAAGAGCCTGAATAAATGCAGAATGGCCAAATTTTGCGCAGTATTGCCAATAGAATATGATTATATCCCATGATCTAGCCTTCCACTCTAGTATTTTCCTGTCAATGTCGTTTTCATGCCTTGATACGTAAGGCCTCAACACAGTCTCATAAACATATCCCGATCCCTGTGTGACATTCAAATAATGTATAATATGTCAATTTTTTTTTAGTTCAAATAGTGAAGCTCTTATTATATGAATACTATTTTCATTATATTTTTTACTTACAATAAATCATAACATAAACATTCCAATCAACACTTAATCATCTATTCTTTTTTCTCAAACAAGAAAGGTTTGATTGTGGTATAACAATTATGTTCTGCAAATAATATTAAAATAACTCAGGAAATGTAAGAAAAATGTGCATTGATGAGAAAGGGACTTACCCTAGTTTTGGGATACCACAAGTAGACAAAAAGCACAATCTTCATCTCTCCATACATTGGCAGCCTTCAAAAAAGCAAGAGTGAATTTACTGCTCGAAGTTAAATTAAAAGACAAACGATACAAACAAATGGTTAAAACGTCTAACACTTACCATCCAATAAATATATCTGTAAACTTTTCCAGTACAGTGAAAAGTGCCACAATGATCCTGCAAATACATGATGTATGAAGATGTGATTCAAAGGAACTGAACTCTAAAGCTTAAATTGAGCAATGCAATATGAGAACTCGTATTATTGCTTTCTATTCAATCAACTTTTTCTGGTATTCTTAACCCCATTTACACGACAAAGGATATACATTTACTTCTGATTGAATATCATACAAGTTCAAAATCTCCTCCGTTTGCTCTGTTTTTCAAGGTTTTGGCCTCGGTTTGGATATTTCGAAAAAATATTCTTTTGCAAAATTTTGAGGCCTTCTCTTATTTTTTCCCCTCACTCATTGATATATACCCCATATAATTATTGTTCTAGCAAATAGTTTTGGAATTTCTTCTGCATCATAAATAAGGTTTTAAATTGCGGTTTGCACTGCAATCGCTGTGACAATTACACATGCAACCCATATGGGCATGCATTTGCTTATAATTTTCCGTAATTTTGATAACAGCAAATGCAACAGTAATTTACAAAATTGATCATAACTAAATGTCAGTATCCAAAACCTTAAAACTCAGTATGTAACCTAAATGACATAAATACCACAAAATTAAAAGAAAAAAGTCCTATTTCAGAAGAACTCAACACGCGAATTTTGTACCAGTATTTACACCAGAAGCGAAGTTCCTCAATATCGACCCTATTTTTCTCCACAGTTTTATAGCATTCGAATCCAGGGTATGCATACCCCAGGATGAGTCTGCAATCCAAAATGAATAAAGAACATAACATAATCACTCAAAAATATATAGAAAAACGTTCATCTATAAAAAAATATATAAAAATAAAAATAAAAAACAGAATAACAAAATGAAAGGGACTTACATAAGGCACCGATTAATGAAATCCCCTAGCATTTTCAACCACTATCTCAACAACACAAAACTCTGGAAAACCAAACCAAACAACTTGTCAAATTATGGATAAAAAAAATGTCATAACATTATGTTGGGGGCATTACCTTTTATTTTTCAAGGATCGAAGTAGAACGATTCAGAGGCACCCAAAGTTCAAACCGTGGTCAGGGAATTGGGGTGCCCCAAAACCCAACACCTTAGGAATATTAACAAGTTGAGATTTTTTATACTTTAGAAGGTAATGTGGTTTAATCCTCTGGAAGATTGGCCTCTGATTCTCTCTCTCTCTCCGAAACAAAATGTGGAAAGAAGCCTTAGATCAGAGGCAACAAAAAGGCTCAACACCTTATAAATAGTGGTGCAGTTATTTAACAACGTAAACAAGAGGAAAAAAAATGGTTTTTTTTAAATAATTTTTTAATAATATAATAATAGAAATTCAGGAGAGAGAAAAACAAAGTGGAATTTCTTGGCACAGACGCTTCTCTTTAATTTTAGACGCAACTGTCTCTGGCTTTGAGGGAATTCTTTGAACGGATTTACGGTTTGGCAGTTGGACACACACTGGTACGAGGTTATTTCGGTAATTTCGGAATTATTGTTGAATTGTGAAACGTTAATCGCTGTTTCCTTGCTTGATTGATTATCATTGATTCGAAGAAAACATGTGTGGAAGAAAATGTGTGAATGTGCGAAAATAGTTAATGTTTAACTATAGATAATGTAATGACCCTTTTGATGAATGATGGTGGTTGAGCCAACTGGGTAGTGATAAATCGTGCGATTGAGCCTCTCCATAATCCTTTGCCACAGTGTATTAGTGATCCAACAAAATGAATAATGCAATAATAACTTTATTTTATTTTATTTATGATTTAGTATATTTTAATTAAATTATTGCCTGGTCTTAAATATAAGACTATTTTAAAGAGTTTTGTCATGGTCTTTTTTTTATAAGATCCTTTGTAAGTTGTTGCTTGCATTATTATTTATATAAAAACACCCTTAGATAAGATAAAGTATTTAATTAGATATATATAAAAAAAGTTGTTATGGGTCCCGATGATGTTAAAGACAGGTTTAGAAAAAATATTTAAATTATTGATAATTTTATGTCATTAATGAAATTAATTATTATTTTTTAATTCTTTTGAAATAATTAAAAAGGTCTTATATTTAGGACCAAAAGTAGTATTATTTTATTGATTTATTTAATTTCATTTTTATGTAGATTTGATTAGGATTATAAACTATTTATGTGATTTTAAGTTTTGATTTCCTAACTATTTTTTTTTTTGTTTAAAATTATTTTGTAATTAGAGATTTTGACTATTTGCTATTAACCGTTGACCAATATTATCCGTTGACTTTGATTATTGGTCAATAATAAACTATTTCGGTAATTAATTTTGATTAGGACCTCTCCTCCTTAAGGCTTTATGTCTTCAGTATTTTTGGATTAGTTTTTGCACTTTATTGCCTCCAACAAGAGTTTTGGGTTATTTTTTCATCTTATAGTGCTAAGTGTGTGTTTTGACGTAATTTTTTATTTTGGGAATTAAAAGTTACTTTTGCATAAACAACATAAGCAGAATATTGTTTATTTATATTTAGGATTTGTTTAAAAAAAAAAAATCAAGAGTCGTGATTATTTAAAAAATAAGTAAAAAATTGTTCTTGCATAACTTAAAGTTACCTTTGGCTCTATTAGAAAGAAATAATTACTAATATTTTTTTAATCTTAGCTATAAGAAATAAAAATTGATTTTTAAATTTATTAATTTTTAAAATTTTTATACTTTTGTTTATTATGAGATTTATGTTAATAAGATAGCCATCCATTAATTATTTATATAAGTGAATTTATTCATTTATTTAATATATTATAAACAATTTTGATCATTTAATATAATGAGTATTTTTAGAATAAAAAATAAATTTATCATAAATATAATAACCTTATATTAATAAATTAGGTATTTATTTATTATAAATAAGACCGGATGAATGTTATTTATTATAAGTTACAACTTATTTTTAAAATTTTATCCTTGGTAATTGATTCTTTTAAATACAAAACTAGTTATTTCATATAATTTTATATTAAAAAAATAATTATTTTATACAATCTAAACACAAAACTTATTTTATATAATCAATTATCACAATAATAAATTATACACGTAATTAATTATTAAAAAAATATTTTTAGCTCATGCAAACACTCACTCACGTCTTTATATCAACTACACTTTTCCACATTTTTAAGACTTGCCTAGTTTTCTTTTTATCATTTAAGATTTATTCTAATTTGTAATAAGACATTTTTCCTCTTAGATACTTGCCTTTTAATGAAGGTAAGTAAATAAAAATATAATAATTCATACGAATTGATATTGTTCTTTGTTAGCTCCATTAATGATTGCTTTTCCTTTATTCTGATTATTTCCTTTGCACTGTATTTATCCCATATTATTGTTTTGCATTTTGCATTGAATATAAGGTGATCTATCATTATTCTTTACACTCATTTTAAGATTGAAACACATTATTATTATTATTATTTCAGTAATCAACTTTAAGGTTTTTATAAATTAAAAATTTAACTGATTCTCCATCGTCATGCCTCTCTCTTTGGGTCTCCTCCAAAGCTCCATTCTCACAAAATCACTACTAAATCACCATTCTATCACTTGGAATTACGTGTTTCTTGTTCTTAGGTTTGGATCCTTCAAACTTCTTAAGGTATTTACATGGAATGTCTCTTCTCCATGTATTTTATGTTTTGAAGAATCGTGGTTAACTGGATTTGTTTCTCCTTTACGAATTTTATTTTATTTGTCCAAGAAGCCCAACTTTTTGGTCTTATTTTGACTAACCAAATTATATCCACCTTAGAGTTTCTACACTTGGTAGAAAGAAGAGAGAATAACTTGAATTCTTAGAAGCAGTTAGGTTATGATTATAGATGAAAGAGCCCTAATCCTCCATCTATCATGTGTTTTAATGCTTTAAAAGTTTTGTTTGATATCATATGATAATGACATTAACATAATGATACATTAATAATGAAGTGAGTGTGTCATTTTCAATTTGATGTTATATTTTTGTTTAAAATTATTGAACTATATAAGGAGGATTAAATAAGTAAATGTTGAGTCATACAAGTAAGGTTTGTAAAGTGAGTTTAACTGGTTGAATTGACTCGCTTAACTCTATTACTTGTTTATTAAGATGATTTACTTAAAATTTTTAAAGCAAAATTTATGAGATCTAATTTAATTAAGTAAAAAATTAGATATAATTATATAATTTACATTATTTGGATAATTAAATTGCATTGAATTATATCTTAAAAAATCATTAAGGTGAAATGTATATGTATATACTCAGTCCCAACAAAAACAAAACAAACCCCAACATAAATGAGTCACCACAACATATCTAGTCCCAAGTATTAACTTATAAATAGCTACAAAATCACCTTTCTGCATGCATATAGTCAAATCAAAGAAATTATTGAATATTTATTTTAGATCACGGGATTCTAAATTACATGTACAAAGTAATTGTTGATTATTTTTGTGTGATAGTATTTTCATATTTAAGATAACATGCAAAAAGGATTATGGTTTAAATGGATAAAGTGCACAAAATTATGGTAGCAAATATTTAAAAAAAAAAAATTCATATAATGAAACTAAGGAAAGGAAATATACAATTTGATAATATTAAAAAACTAATGCTCGTTAATGATAATATTTAATCAACATATTCTTAAGAATTTAAAATATAATATAGATAAAATTAGTATTTTAGTATTCAAAATTTCTAATTTTATTTGTTTTATTTTGATTTTTTTTTTTAGTTTTATCTTTTAGTCTCTTTTTTCTTTTATATATGAGTTCTCTTTCTTTCTTTTTTGTTTAATTTTTTTTAAACACATATATTTTTCATTAAATATAATTTTGTTTTAGTTGTGTAAGATTACTGTAAGTGATATAACTCTCCTTTTAAGTAAAGGATTCAGCTCCATTTTCTAATATTCAAAACTCACATTACTTATTCAATTAAAATAATTTTATGTTAATTAATTGATAACTCATGCTAATTCTCTAATATTATTTTTTAGTCGTTAAACTAAAACTGAAACAATTGATAAAACTATAGAAGACCAATTGAAAAAAAATAGTTTGAGAACCAGTACAAAATAAAGAAAAAGTACCAAATGAAAAAAAAATTAAAACAAAAAATAATTTTTTCCTCAAATTGTGGAGTTTCAACTGTGTAATTCTCTTAACAAGGTTTCAGGATTAAATTTTCTTAAATAACTAACTTTACAAGGATAAAATGTGAACATCTTTCCTATTTCTTTTTAATACGAATAAGTCGTGAATGCCTTGATTATGATTAGAGCGTAGAAAAATTTTCTTTATACTCCAAAACATAATTTCTTTGCAATTTTTTTTATTGTCATATTATTTTCAACTACACAAAATATATTATTTCCTTAATTTCATTGTAACATTATAATAATATTTATTATATTTACAAAACAATGCAAGATAATATCCTAAAAATATCATTTTTTAAATTTCTTTAAAATATACTAATATAAAAGACTGAATTAATTAATTCATATTATATGGATATTATTATCTTTATTTAATTTGAATATAAGAAAACTAGTAAAATACTTGTGTTGCCACCGGAGTTCAACGATGAAATTTGTAAGGCACAGGAATAGAAGTAATAGAAAATTATTTTGAGTCAATAATTTATTTAGGAAACTAATCTTTAGTTACCCAGATTTTGCACTAGTTTATAAAATGAAATAAATAAATAATGAATTAAAGAATTTAATTCTGGTGCACTATGATGTTAAGATTTTTTTATATTATTATCTAATCTAAGATTCTTATATTAGTAAGAATTATTAACTTTTGTAAAAAAAATTAATTAAAATTCATATATACAGAAAAGTTTTTCAAACAGTGCATAAAAAATAAAGTCTTATTTTCTTCATAAATATAAGTTAATATCATAAAATTATATTTTCCTTACCATTATTTTTTATGATCTTTATCCCAAACTGTTACCACTAATGAGAAAGCGATAAATATTTATATTCTAATGAAAGTAAAGAAAATAAGATAAAAAAAAAATTATTAGAAAATTTTGAAAAAATA